TCAGAAAACTCGTAAAAATACCGTTCACCGGGATTGAGCGTGCTGATAACGTGTTGTAATGTTGTTGTGTTGTTTGTGCCCGTTGGCCATTAGCTCCTAATCGGTGAATTGTAGGATTGGATCAATATAGATAAACGTAAATGTACAAGACAAAGAGAAGTAGAACAAAAGACAAGGAGAGTCATTCCATTGCACTAGTCCCCTCAATACAATGTTACAACAAGCATATATAATGTACAAATAATAATGACGATACTAATGATGACCGTTATAACAGTTATGTATTGAATGCCCATAATGTCCACCATAATAATATATTTATAACATTAAGATCTTTAATGTTCTAGACTCATGACCAATAATAATTGTTATAATAACCAAGAACCAAAAGACTTGGATTTGGACAAATAATAATTGGCTTTTGAATCGTATCAAGTCAATTTCGCATTGGAGTCATATACTTTGTCCTAGTGCTCTTATCATATAATTAGTGCTAAGGATTCGCCTTCCGGGCAAAACTATATTTGAAAATCAGCCTATAGCTTCATGTATAAGGTGTGAGATACATCTTAATATTCATGACACATGTTTGACAACATCATATCAAATCCAAGTTCAACAAATAGCATATATTCAAAATCATAAAAATTAAAACCTGACAATGTGCCTTTGATATGCTGAATGTGTTGGTAGCTCGTATCTCAATGAACTAGTAATTATCGTGTTTGATGCTAAAAAAAAGCTGCTGCATCACCAATACCCTGTGCTATTCACGAATCAGGCTGGCAACATTTCAGCAATTCTTTTGTTCAGTAAAAGTCTCCTTAGCATTAATGACATTTGTATTCAAAGCTCGTGACGGTCCTGATGCTAAACTGCTATTCAATTGACGCGTTGTGCGAACGTCTTTGGAGATCAAAAATGGATAATACTGGAGAAAGCTGCAATCTTGGAGATCTAGAGGCTGAACCGGAAACAATTCGAATCCGCCTTGTTGGTTTACAGTTCTGAGAGATCGAAGCGGAGTTTCAAGTATGCTCAACTGAGCATGCAGCAATCAGACACAGAAAAACCACTACGCCCAATCATCAAAGCTAAGTACGTGGAGTATTATGCTCATATGTACTGAATTTACATTATTTTTTAGTATACAAAATAATATATTTTCAGTACTTAAATAATATAATATACTTTTAGTACTCAAATAATGTACTTTTCATGAATATAAGATTCATTTTTAATATATTAAAAATACATTATTTGTGTACTGAATGTACATTATTTGATAGTATATAAAATAATGTATTTTCAATTTTTCACTACTCAAATTATGTACTTTTCATGAATACATGATATATTTTTAATAATATACTAAAAAATACATTATTTGTGTGCTGAATGTATATTATTTGATAGTATACAAAATAATGTACTTTAAAATAATGTATTTTTAATTTGTGATCCATAAAGCTGTGTGAACCATAGTCCATAGAATAATGACTCTATATGGGTCAAGTTGGGCTAGCCAAACAATAAAAATATTTCCCTAGTCTAGCCCACAACCCAAAAAAATTAAAATGTAAGTTTTTATCTTCAATTTATTTAATTCATTATATTCATAAATTTATGTATTTATTTTTATTATAAAAATTTACTAGTTAAAAATTATTTAGTTACTATTAATTTGATTACTATTATTAATTTTATTTTATAACTTTAGTTTAACATAAATAAATATTATTATATCATTAAAATAATTAATATTTTATATGAAATAATTTTGTAATAGAAATTGAAAAAAATACAATTTTAAAAATATCAACGAAACAAAAAGAAATGATTTTCTAACTTTTAGGCAAAGACAAAAAAAAAAAACTTTTTTTTTGAAAATGGATCTTTTGTTGCATGAAATCTTTATTAAAATATCTTTGCCAATAAAGAAAATGGTCAATCATTGAAATATAGTGTCACAATTCCCACTTGTCCAATTATTTATCATGGGGAGTCATCATTCCACAACGATCAATAATTGGAGGCAAAAACTTGTGTTAGATCGTCTCACCGTGAGGCGGGTTGAGTCAAGATGAAAATGTAATACTTATATGTATAAATGTAATATTAATTAGGAATAAAGTGTTTATTACTTATATGAAAAAATATCATACTTTTAAGGGAAAATGTAATACTTTTACATTTTGATTTAAATATATTATATTTTTTCTCAAAAATATTATATTTTTCTTTATAAGACCATCTCCAATCAACACGCTATTTCACCATTCTGGAGGAAGAAATGTTGTTCGCCATCTCCAATCAACTCGCCATTCCGCTATATTTTTGTCGCAACATGAACAGTGCAGCACTGGTGCTGCACTATTCATCCGCACCATTTTTGGTGCAGAAATTTATTTTCCATTTTTCCTCTTTTTTGTTCTTTATCTTCTTTTATTTATTATTATTTTTTTTTTTTGTAAAAAGAGAGGGGTAAACCCGGTGTAGACCTAAAGAATTGCTCCACGAGGGACCCTCGCCCCCACAGCATCTTCCCACATGACGTCTTCAACTATCGCGGGCATGGCAGTAAGTACACGGACACCTAACTCGTGAGTGGTGGCTACCGTTGCGAGGCGATTAGCTACTCGGTTTTGCTCGCGTCTAACATGCTTGAACTCTATGTTTTATGTTATACCTTACACCACGGCGCGCGTAGCACTGTGCGTCGCGCGCCTCCAAAAACGACGTTGTTTTGTGGTCGTTTTGGGAGGCACGGTAGGAAGTTGTTGTGATTATGTGTATTTGTTCACACAATTATGTGTATTTGTTCACACAATTATGTGTATTTGTTCATACAGTTATGTACATTTTTTATACAATTATGTACATTCTTTTTATACAATTATGTACATCTGAATCAGAAAATTTGTGTGTATTATGTTAAGAGTTGATGTGTATTATGTTAAAAGTTTATGTTTATTATGTATTATGTTAGATTATGTGTATTATCTTTTAAAAAGAGTATGTATATTTTGTTATATAATTATGTACATTCATGTATACAATTATGTGTATTCTAGTATATGTACATTTTTGAACAACGAGTTTTTTTTAAAGAAAAAATTATTGTCATTCACTGGGGCGGGAAATTTCAAAAAAAAAAAAAAATTTATAACGACGTCGTTTTGCATCTGGATGCACAGTGCAACGCGCGTCGTGGTGTAGGATATAAATGTACTCCCATACACAACAATATTGATGTAGACACTTGTATTGGATCCACATGAAATAAATAACTTATCAGAATTTGCCACATCGGGAAGTAAAATTAGGGAGTACGTGTAGTAGAACTCTTGAAATAGTATCCCAAATTCCCAATTCCCATGTGATAAATGCTGGAGGAGTGTAAGAGACCCACATGAAAAAAAATAACTTATCAGAATCCACCATATCAGGAAGTACATGTAGTAGAACTATAGTATCCCAATTCTCACGTGATAAATGCTGGAGGAGTGTAAGTGGGAGTATGTGTAGTGTAGACGAACTCTTCCCCCGTATGTCCAATTATATTTATAATGTAAACAATGCCTGATTTCTTCATGACCTTAGCTCAGTAGCCTTTCTACCCAGGGCCGTCCCTGGGCATGTCTGCCCAGGGCAGGCGCACAGGGCCCCCAAAATTTTGGGGGCCCCTTAATTAAAAAAAAAACATAGCATATATACACACTGTAACCAAAGCCCACAGTGGCAAAGTTCATGAACCTTTCTTTTAAAAACCAAAGCCCACATACACACCGTAACCAAAGCCCACATACACACCGTAACCTTTCTTTTAACACACGAAATACCTATAACTTATTAAATATTACTATATAACCTATATTAGCCTAATCTAAATTCTAAAGTACACAAACAGAAAGTCGGAAAGACAAACTGCGGAAGAGACGAGACTCACAACAGACTAAACTACAACACTGCCTAGCAGCTTAGGTATTTGACCTTTTATTCTTTTAACTTGAGGGTGCTATTTGTGAATTCTAGGTATTTGAATTAATTCAAATATTGATTTTTTTTTTTTTTTTTGAATTTGAATGTTTGTGTATTTGAACTAGATTAGGTAATTCAAATTTGGGAAAGACGACAGATTCTATTCGTGTGATACTGATTCTTCAATTCTCAAACTCTCAAGTTCTTCAATTCTCTTGATAGGTAATTAAAATTACGTATTATTTTACAGTTCTTGTTTATTGTTTTATTTACATGACTTAATAATTCTGATTTCATAATAATATATTCAAGAATTTGTTTCTTGATTAATTATTTATTCATAGAGTTTCTAAATAAATTTTTATTTTTTCCTTAGGATTTTATGTCTTCTAGAAAATATTCATTTGGGTTTGAGAAGCGTAAAAAGAAAAGATGAATTGAACAACTAACTCAATCTCAAAAGGGGGTTCTTAAAAATTTTATTACAAAAAAAAAACTCAAATAGATGAGCAAAAAGATTATGTCAAGGAAAAATTGTTAGATGCTACTCTTCATATAGAAGATCAAGATGATTGTGAGATTGGAAAGAATTTAAATGATAATGTGCACAACGATGACAGGTATCACTGTGACAATGAAAATAATAAAAATGTTGATAATTATTTAGATGATGTTGGTCAGAGTGATAAACCAAATGATTTGCTTTTATTTGACATATACGATCAAGTATGTTGCAAGAGAGACTGAATGGATTAGCTTTAATCTCTATTGAAAATGACATTTTAGAAGAAGTTGATATCAAAAGCTTGGTGGATGATTTTGCGTCTAAATGTGCACGACGCATGTCACTTTTTAAATGAAATTTTAGATGTATTTTTTTATACAATATTTATATTTTAAATTTTTGAAGACAACTTTTTGAACAATTATTATTTATATATAAAAATTAATTGAAAAAAGGGGTCTAAATTAAAATATTGCACAGAACCCCAATTTTTATTGGAACGGCCCTGTTTCTACCCATCTCTCATCATGGCAACCCCAACCCAATCCTCTACTGAACCCTCTCCTCCCTTCATGAATGGTCATCATGATGAAGATGAGAAGTGCTCCTGCAAGGAATCTCTCAAAACAATCATTCCAGACAAACTTATTGTCTCTGAGTTGCCCAGAGAAAGAGGATGGCTAACTGAGCACATTCATTTGTACAATGGGTTTTGGTACCCACCACGCATCATCCATGGCCTCCTAGCCCTCCACCAACACTTCAAACCACACCCCAATGATGTCCTCTTAGCCAGCTTCCCCAAATCTGGAACCACTTGGCTCAAGGCTCTTCTCTTCACCATTGTGAACCGGGCAAAGTACAATGGAACTATGCACCCTTTGCTCACCTCAAACCCTCATGATTTGGTCCCCTGGTTAGAGGCTTATGCCTCTTCCAACCCCACAAACCCCCGCCCAAACTCTTCCTTGTTCCACACCCACCTAGCCTACCCAACGTTGCCACAACAAATCTACACCTCTTCATCGTCATCGTGTCGGATCGTTTACGTGTTTCGTGACCCCAAGGATGTTTTGGTTTCCTGCTGGCACTTCCTCGCCGAGCTGAGGCCCAAACACTTCCCTCCCATCTCTCTCCAAGAGGCTTTCGATCAATTCTCGCGCGGCGCCTCGCCTTTCGGGCCGTTCTGGGATCACGTCGCCGGCTACTTTAAAGCCAGTGTCCAATCTCCCGACAAAGTGTTGTTCGTGAGTTACGAGGATTTGAAGAGAGACACTGTCGTCCATGTCAAGAGGGTGGCGGAGTTTCTGGGCCGCCCTTTCACGGCGGAGGAAGAGAAGCAAGGGGTGGTGCGGGAAATCACAGATTTGTGTAGCTTCGAGAAGTTGAGCAGTTTGGAAGTGAACAAAAACGGTTCACACCATGAAGAAACCGGTTCGGTGAAGGAGATTAGAAACAACGTTTATTTCAGAAAAGGCGAGATTGGGGATTCGAAGAACCACCTTTCGGGAAAAATGATGGAGATTCTCGATCAAATCACTGAGGAGAAATTCAAAGATCTTGGCCTGTTGGTTTGAAAAGAAGTCAAAACTCCATGATTATTAGTATTTTAATTTTTAAATCTTTTTTTTTTTTTTAAATAAAATGAGGGATCAACAAAAGACTTTGTGGTCATAGCTAGGGTTCTCCAAATGGGAGTTCAGATTAAGCATTAAAAATGTTGCACTCATATTTTTCATTAGAATTAGCTTTGGTTTTCTGTGTTACGGATCCATTCCGTCTTGTACTCGAACTTGCTGAGTTCTTTAGTTTTCTTTAATTTTCATCATTTGTGACTTTGTGTCAGTAGCAGTTGATGTAGGGGCGCTTGAGAATATTGTGTAATATTTAAATAAATAATATTAAGTGTGTTTTTAATTTTATAATTCATAAATAATTGTAATATTTTTTTAGATTTAGATTTTTTAAAGTTAATTTAAATAATTAAAATATGAATAATGTTATTTTCTCCTCATAAGTTCATCTCATAATGTAATATTAGAACTCTTTATTTTCACGGATCTAAATATCAACGAATTGGTTGATTTTACCACAAGTAAAAAAAGAAATCTATTTAACAATCAAATAATGACAATTTTGGCCAAACAGATATTGATACATCAAGAGGTGGATTTTAAGAGAAAAAAGTTAAATACATGAGTTATGATTGAGATTTAATTGATAATAAAGTGATGAAAACAAAAACAAAAGTTAGGTTATGTTGCTCTTTCAATAAATCCATTTATGAGTTATAAGTTAGAATAATGTACTGTATGAGTTAGAATAATGTATTTTATGTGTTAGAATATTGTACATTGTGTGTTATAATAATGCACTTGTGTTAGAATAATGAAACTTCTATGAAAAAATAATATATTTTATGAGTTAGAATAATGTACATTATACTTTAGAATAATGTATATTATGAGTTATAAAAATATATATTGCAGTGGGTCGCGTGAAAAAAAAAATTGCTCGAAACGACGTCGTTTTTGGAATGTGGTCCACACAGTTGTGTGAACCACAGTCCACACAATAACTGTTGCATATTTTGTACCTTTAGGCACATAACATGTTAATCAACATCTTATGTGTCTGCAGTTAACATATTCTGTACCTGCAGTTAACAATTTATGTGTCTTATCATGTTATGTTTCTGTAATTACCATGTTATATGCCTTCGATTTGTTTACATGTACAGATTAACTGCATGCAGTGTTGCAAAAACCGCGCCTAGGCGCCGACCGGCCATCTAGCGTATCACCATAATCGGGCGCCTAGGCGTCAATTGCCTAGCCACCGACTAGGCAGCCTAGTCGGCCGATTAGTTATTGTTCCCTTCTTTGTTTTTTTTTTTATTTTTGTTTTTTTTTTTAATAAGTTATTTTACTCAAAACGGCGTCGTTCAAACCCTAGATATTTTTTAGGTTAATAATTAATATTTTAGTATTAACTATTAAAATATTAAATAATTTATAATTATCAAGTCTTAAAAAAATTTAAACAATTTTTTTAAAAAATAAAAAAATATACACGAGCGCCTAGGCACCTAGCAATTTTTTCAACCATGAATGAAGTACATAATACGCTTAACTGCAAACACATAATTTTTGAACCAGGGTTCACAATGCAATATGAACCCTGATTCACTGTATAACAAATTGCCCTTCATAGGGGCCTGTGGCCTGGCCTAGTTTGAACCTGGCATGACCTGGTCTATTTTGTAATTAAAAAAGGTCAGACTTAGTCTTATTTTAAAGCTTGTTTAGGCCCAGGCTTGTATATATCAATAGTTATTGTGTGGACCACGGTCCAAAAACGACGTTTCGCGTATTTTTTTTTTACGCGACCAACTGCAACATACATTTTCATAACTTATAATGTAAATTATTCTAAAGCATAATGTACATTATTTTAATTCACAAAATACATTATCTTACTCCAGAAGTTTCATTATTCTAACACATAATGTATATTATTCTAACACATAAAATACATTATTCTAATTCATAAAATTCAACATCATTTTGGACCGTGGTCCACACAACGACCCACGCAATAATTTGCCTATATATACAAGCTAGGGGTGACCTTCAAACCTACAGGTATGGTCTATTTTCAGTCCTTCCAGTACCTTTTCCGACAAAACTCTATTTTTGGCTAGAGTAATTTAGTCTCAACACTTTCTTTTTTAATCTCTCACCCATTTTCTCTGCCATGGCTTCCACCTTGCTTGCTGAATCCATTTTTTGGGCAGTGTAGTGGTCAACGGTGATCTTACCAAGTCCCTTTCTCACTCGTACGACAAGGTCTAATGGCGATTTACAAATACACAGAGAATTGGAGATTAACATTAAAGTATCTAGTGTAGTTTAGTGAGAGAAAGAGCAAGAAAATGGAGAGATCAGAGAAAATAGCTAGAGCTCATATATATTGTAGATATTCCTTAATTATCCAAGCCAAGGCCACATTAATCCCTTGCCAACAAGGTGGAAGCCATGGCCGAGGAAATTGGTAAGAGATTTAAAGAAAAAAAGAAAGTGATGAGACCAAAATTACCCTTGCCAAAAACGGAGTTTCACGGTAAAAAGTACGGGAATGATCAAAAGTGTCTAAAAGTTACATATAGTCAGAGATGTTTAGTGACAAAGACAATATATAATCCGGGATTAAATTTAAAATGGTCACAAAAGACAAAGGGACATCCGCGCGCAGGAATTAACTCTTTGATTTATTTTTCCAAAAGGTTGAATCCCAACCCTAAGGGCTCCCGACTCTTTGATTTATTATTTTTATATGTAGTAGTTTGGAAAATTATAATGTGGTCCATATTAATTTATTAATATATTGTTTTTTTACATTTATGGAAACACGGTCATTGCATCCCGAACCAATTGACACGGCGTTGTTAGTATTTCAACATAGGCATCGATCTGGATCCATATGAACGGATCAAGATTTTGATACCCGGCTCAAAGTCCGATGGTACGATGCAAGAGGCCCGCGATCCTAGAATGCTGCATTATCTACGTGTGACGGCCTTTTACGGAGTTGCTCACCTCACCCGTATAAAGTTGGATCACGCATAAGTCAAACATCGCGTTTGTCTGAGACAGATTTACAGGAATATAATGACCAAGGCCTTAATTTGGGAAATAGTTACTCTGTCAATAGAACGTATTTTATTTTTTACATTTAATTTACCTCCACACCAATAAATTCTATGATAAATTCCCTTCCAAATTTTCTGATATGCTCTCCCTTAGGAAGCTTTTTTTCTTTTTTTCTTTTTTTTTTTTAACAACGACAAATATTCGAGGTCCTAGATGGAGGCATTTTCTTAGAAAGTAAAAGAATTGGAGTAGTAGTAGAAACGTGACCACTTGATTATTTTTACTTTAGCACTTATAACTTATTTGAAATAAGTTTTTTTTTTTTTTTTTTCTTTAAATATAGTTTAGTGTTGGTACTAGCAATTTATATTGTTCTTGACAATTTACTGAATCATTTCAGTGACTTCTCATTTAAACAGTAGTTAACCATTGGTTGTGCTTCCAGGCCCTACATTTGTGTTTTTCTCCATACAATATTGTGTTGTTTTTTTTTTTTTTTTTTTAATTTTATTTTTATGCGTGATTTTTTAGAATATTTTTTATTATTACAAAAAATTAAATATGTAATTTTTTTTATGTGACAGATAATTCTAATAATATATTTTTAAATTAAAATTTATAAATATTAGATAAATAATCTTATTTAAAAAATAATCAATTTATTATATTTAATTTTAATCACTCCTTAATTTGGGAAGCATATTGCTGTCAAAAGAACAGATTTAAAAAAAGCAATGAAACCATACAACAATAACTTTGGCCAGATGCATGCAACTATTCCAACATGGACATATTTGTTCGTTTTACAATTGTATCGACCCTCAATGCTCATCGTTATAATATGAGACGTTATTTCATCTATATGGTACCGTTAGCGAAAAGAAAATATTGTATGTAATTGTACAATATGCAATATCAAATCAATACGTATGTTACGCAACGCCGTGGATGAAATATATATTTGTAAATGTTAGGCTCAAATGTGTTGGAGCCAATTTACTTTCAAGATTGGCAAGATGCCGAAGGATATACGATGGAGAACCTATGTCACGGCCTATAAGCTTTTATTTATAAATCACGTAAGTCATTTTATTTATTTATTTATTTTTCATGTCTAGCTATGGGCTTTTTACTCTTATTTCTAACTTGCAATGATAAAAAACATTTGCCCAATATTACTATATGCACTATCTCATGGCTTACTATTAAAATTAGATCGCCTGTAACAATGGTAATTATATCAATCTAATTTTGATATTATGTGTTTCTGTATTTTAATGACTTCAATAGAATTCTTTTTTTTTTAATACATTTAATACTTTTTTTTAATAGAAAATTTTAAATTGCATGCATCGCCATCTAATGCAACATTTCACAACAACTGTGATTTTACATCATGGTTGGCCAGTCGGAATAGAAGTTACCATTGAGAATGTGAACTTTACTACGGGAACTTCAAATTTCATGATAGAGATTGATTTATATCATGGAGACATGATACTTTTTAGACATACTGGTTTCTTCACTTTTGAAACATTTTCTACTACGGCTTTGACCGCGACATCGACTTCAATGGCGAGATGAAAGTGGAGCCAAATCATTATGGTGACTACATAACAACTCACCATTATGAACTGGTAACATTACACTATAATCCATAAACTATATATTATACATTTAACTACATATATTAATTGATTTTTCTTTATATATTAGACCAAATAGATGTCAAGGCAATGTCCACTATCACACCATCATATTCATTTAATAAACTACAAAGACGCCGCCGTTCTTTGTATATTGATTTCTCTACACTTTTAGCGGTAAGAAACAATATACATTAATAAAAAAAATTATACATTCAACTTCGTTCTAAACAATATTTTTATTTAACTTCTTCTTACGCTACTCTAGCATGTTAGATTATGTACATTTCTAAACCACTCCGATGTGTTTAGTGAGACGCTC